TATATATATATATCATGCGTTACGTGATTTGATTTGAGGAGAGCTCCTCGAAGCAAGCGCGCGTGGGACACGCTGCCTTGTCGCGTGCCTCACCACTTCTTCAGTGTCGCTCAACCATAAGTTCCTCTCATGCAACATGGTATGTAGAACTATTTCACAGAATTATTTTGTGTATAACGCACACAGAATTTATAGTATATAGTAGAGATATTATTCGATTAAATTTTTACTTGATTATTTTATTCCATATTATCGAAATTCTATCAAAAAAATTCTCTTCAATCCTGTATGCAATCATATACCTCTATATTATTATAGAACTATATCTGTGTTTCGTACTGTTGCTTGTAAGTTATTCAAATCAAGCTCTGTACATATTTTCTATAATACATCTGTCTGAATGAATTATATTTATTGTATTATACATCTCTATTTTCACACTTAAGAGAATAGCATTCGTTTTCATAAGTTAATGTCTTTATTGATACATGTTCCTACAAATTTTCTGATGAAATGATTGGTACGATTCGTTTTTTAACAAAAAGCTTTTTTCCCCCAAAGTCAACTTTAATCAAACTCGTAAATAATATATAAATCTACAAATTACTATATTTTTTTAAACGATTGTTATTTCATTTCCAATGTGAATTTGTATACATGATTATCCCAAAGACAGTTTCAAGAGCGACGCAGAAAGCGGATTATTTAATGAATATATAAGAAAAAGATTCGAATAAAATTTTCTACCACAGCAAAGTATGAGATAGGAGACACAGCTCGCTTACCATTTCGACATACGAATGATATCATCGCTCGCAGGAGCGGATTCAGTTATTCTAACAACGCGCGCGCATTCACTTATCGCGAGTGATTTAGCTGCGAGCCAAATTTTTAAATATGCAGAATCCAGATACGGTATGTAGCTATAGATTCAATCTTGTACCGTGTCAATTCTGAACACTTAGTATCTGTCATTTAACATAATTACAGCATAATAATAATTTATAACTACAACTATAAAATATTTCAATTAACAATAAGATTTATATTTTGTTTCGGATCAATTAGTTTTATTCCAATTTAATAATATTAAAACCTTAAATACGCGAGGTTTAGTATACAAGTAGATGACATATTTTCTATATACTCTATATACAAAGTATTTAAAACCACAAAATTATACGAAATATACCTAATTTCTCCTAATAATTAATTATAAAATGAAAGATTAGTGCCTTCTGTGAATATCATAGAAAATTTTAATCTAATCGACCTAGATTATTCTTTGTTCTTGTTTCTATATATGCTGATAATAGTTTGTCTTTGAGAAGCATCAATGTTTACTTCATTTAATATGTACGGTTCGAAAGAGAGAAATTCTTTCTTTCTCATTTTATTTTCCTCTTTCTTCTCCTCTTACAGCTTCGGCACGCTCGCGCGTAACCAAAACCCAGCTGTCTTTCACGGCTAGCGCGCGTACTGTAACTCGTTCTCCACCCACTGGAGAGGGATCGAAGTAAGGCAACGGTCCTGGAACCTGTTTCGAACCGTTTGAGAGTCTCTGTCCTGCCTCGTCCTCATCGTCCATCCCTCATATCCTATCCTTATCCCACCTACTATTCCACCTTTTGCATCTCTTTGTCGCTCTTTCACGTTCCTTTTCTCTCATCATCTCACTTTCTCTCTTCCCCTCTCCTTTTTTCTCTCTTATTTTCTCCGTCTTTCCCTCTTTTTTTCTCTCTCTCTCTCCCGTTGGTGTTGGCTCCACATATTCCGGCGCGTAATATCACGCACATCATCGTCACGAAGATGTGTACGCGTGTCTCTCCATCGGTGCTCCATACGAAGGAAGCCAGAGGAACATGAACCAAGATGGATCGACGGATGAATGAGAAAGAGAAAACGGATGGAGAGGAAAACGCCAGAGAAGAAGATGACAGGAGGGAAAAGGAGAGCCAGAAAGAGAAGGAGAAAAGAAAAAGTGGGAGGAGAGAGCGGTCAACGCTGAGAAGGCAAGGCGGATGGGGTATGGCACACGCCACACGCCATCATAATGGAATAATGAGGCAGAGACGATAGCAATCGCGCGCAGAGGCTCTTTTTCCGCGCAAGACGACCGTGTATTGAAGCGCTCGTGAGAGCTGTACGAGACCGCGCACGAGCATAGAAACGTCGTGGATGAATTGAGCAAATCAGAGCCACATCCGATGAGGTCAGATCGACTCGGTCATGCCTCCAAGACTGCGTGTTCTTGGGGCTATCGTAAATAAGTGGAGGATATTAAAAGATGTAAGAAATCTTTTATCTTATATGTTAGCAATTAGTAGCGAAATACACAAACATCATATATGATGTATCTTTATTATTACGTATGTTGTCGAGTATATCTTTTTGTTATTATATTCATAATACCTGCAAATATTAAATATTAAATAATATCTGCTGTATGTAGAAAAATACGTGCGGATTGTGCGATATAAAAAATTTTCTAATTTCATGCAAGAAAGCAATGCAATTTTGCATATATCTCACTGCCATACACTAATTAATATGATGGTAAAAATAAATGTAGCTCAATCGTGATATCCATGTTAAATCATATTGACCAAAATTTTTTTCTTTCTATAATGAAAAAGGAACAAGGGCAACGGTAGGAGATTACAGCAGGAGAAGAAGCTGTGGCACGTGACCCCGAAGAACACCAGAGTCAACTCGCTTAAGTAGCCGAGCTCTGCTCTTTGACCCAGCCGACAATTTCAAATTATGTCTCTCAGAGAGAGAGTGAGAGAGAGAGAGAGAGAGAGAAAAAGAAGGAGAGAGCGGATATACTATAGTCAGACACATACTCCCCTCTTCGCAATGAAGGTAACGTTCATTCGCAACTTCTCATATCTAAGGCGACCAGAATGCTAATCTGGTGTCGCTCGTGGCTTCGCCGTAATTAGTCAGGATGAGATAGTTCGAGAGCCAGGCGTGCGCTTTATCTGTAATCTGCCATTGAATAGAACCAGAGTGCACAGAAAAAGCTTACAATAAGTAAAACTTAAACAAATGGTTTCATTAGCCAAGTGCAATAAACAAGAAGTGAATTTGCCAATTAATAGACAATTCAATGAAATGATTTACTTAAACTTTACTTAACTTTTTTCAATTTTTTTAGCCATAATGCAAATTGGTTACTATTTCACACATTTCAAATAAAATTTGCGAGCGAGGTCGATTACAATAAAAGTTTTTCTATATCGCATCACGCGCGATAGTAAGTATTATATTTTCAAGTAAAAACATGCAATCTCTCTTAATTCATTGCTGCTTTATTATCTTGCATTATAAACAATTTTTGTTCAATTAAAAACTGATTTACGTTATATTTAGGGATGTGAATGTTTAGATATGAAATACTGCCAATATTTCCGCGGCAAGATAATTTCGCGAAAATGACTAGTACCCAACTGCTCGGAGAGTCGCTGGAGTCTACAACATGCGTAGTTGTAGTTTGCTGAGGAAGACAAATGATCCACTCCGACGCGAGACAGTTAGCGTACGGCAAGAGGCGTTGGCCACGAAGAAGCGCCTCTTGGTTCGCCCCAGGGCACACCGAGCCGACTCATTCGCTTGATCTCCATTGCCATTATGATATTAATGAAATGCCGCTAAAAAGGTGTGTTTGCTCGGTAACATGAGGCTATAGGGTGGGAGGAGGAGAGATAGATGTTAAACCTACGTAAAATAGTCTTACCCGATATGGTGCGCACACGCCTGTGATTATGCCACCGCCGTAGAGATTTTGTTGTCGTAGCTGTTTCCGTCGTTGTCGTCACCGTCGTATTTTGTCGTCGTTGTCACCATCAACATCGTCACAATACGTCGTCATCGTCAACTATCATCGAGATTTCCGCAACTACCGTTTTTGATAACACAATTTTCTTTAACAATGGCATTTTTAATCAGTTGTTTCTAATTCTCCCTCCTCCATCTTTATTATATTTTTATTCAAAATTGTGAATAAGAGTTTGCATTTTTGATCATATATATATACTAAATGAAGATAATATAGCGCAGACTTAATATTGGCTCATTTTATTGGAAATGTGAACTGACTCCAAGATGAAAAGCTACTGTCCTTTCTCGCTCAAAGGACGAAATCGGTTCAAGCTGCAAGGCTAACGACCTCTGAACCCTTTGTCGAATGGTCATGTGTTTTGTGGGCTATCCTGGACCAAATGGACCACCATTTAGATTTTTTGCACCTTCTGTTCTTTATGATTTGTTACTAAAATTGTTGTCAGTGTAAAATTTTTTCAGCGCTATTTTACCAATAATTTTTTGCATTGTGTCACCAATCGATTTGTTGTGTCTTCCGGCACGCGCGTGCAAAAGTAAGAAAGGAGAGAGATAAAGGAGATAAACTTGGACCACAGAAACCAGAGGAGTGGAATTCGCGGGGATAGAGAGAAAAAGAGAAAGAAAGAAAGAGAGAGATGAGAGAAAAGAGGACACGCTTGAAAAGAGAGATGGGAGAAAGAGACTCTCTTTCTCTCTCTTTCTTTCATACGGGGGTGCGCCCACGCTGGTGACGTCACCCGACGAACGTCGGTTGTGGTACCGGCGATGAACGCGTTGGTGTTCAAACGTTCGGGGCACTGAGAAAGAGGAAAAAGATTGACGAGACAGAGACGCTATCGTGTCTCGAGGAAGGGAACGTGGAGCCGGTCGTCGGTGGTACCAAGGGGAGGGATAGCCGGATGGAGAGAGGACACCGGCGAGATGTACCGGGTTTGGATGGGGAAACTAAGGTACACGCGCGCGCGCGAGAGAGAGAGAGAGAGAGAGAAAGCGAGAAGACATCTTTGCACGGAGGGTGGCGGGGGAAAGGAATGAATGGAGATTGCAGACCACGCGGGAGAGACGAATGGTCCGGAACCCGTGGAGGAAACGGGGGCGAGACAAGGGCGAGGAGAACTTTCCGAGAGAGGAAGCTAAACGAAGAGGGGAGGAAGGGGAGAAGGGGAGAGGGCTGTTTCGCGTAGACAATCACCGTCAACAGTAGCGGGAGTAACCACGGGGTAATGTCGACGACACACGTGACACTGCTGAATCTCCGTCATCGCCGGCCACGAATCGAACGCGAACGGCGCACGAGACGACATCAGCCGCCTCGCGATCGCGTTCTCCTTGCTTCTTCCCATGAGTGTTGCACGCGCGAACGTGCGAGCGCACTCTCCAGGCTCGCACCCGACAGCTTCGCGCGCGAGCCACGCTTTATTAGTCTAGCGCGGGCCATCGTGAACCCCTTTAGTTGCCTCGCTACGCTTCGCCTTGTCTCGCCTCGCCTCATCTCTCCTCGTCGCGCCGCATCTCGTCTCACCACGCTTCTTCGCCATTGGCCATCGGCCATCGGATCAACGAGACCGAAGAGAAACGATAGATGTGAGTGAGCCTAAGCGTGATAATAGAAACCGACGTGTGAGGAGGAATAGTGAAGATAAGGTTTTGCGAAAGAGAAGAAAAAGTCGAAGAATCGCGAGGAAGAGAATCAAAGGAGGGGCCAACGTGTCAAAGAGAGCGGAAGGTCGATGCGCCGGAGGAACATGAGAAGAGTAAGAGAGAACCGTATCCTTTGGTGATACAGTACAACCAGCACTCGTACCGGTACGTTCGCGATTTAACGGCCACCTTTGCAACCAACCAACGTGCGGAAAACATTCTTTTCCTTGGTCAAAGTGATTTTATCTTGACGAGATTCTATTCAAAAGGGAACGTAAGCTGTTCCAATAAGCCGAATAAATGCTCGCGGACAATTTAATGCTGTGAGTTTGACAAAATTTTGTCACGAGATACACCTATTCCTGCAATTTATTAACATGGAATTCTATCAAGGAAGCATCTATTCGCAAATTTATGCCGGCGAATCTTTTTATTCTCTACAATGTTAACGATTGTCCTTGTTAAAGGACAGTCGATGTCAATTTGACTGTTATCCATTCATTTCCGTGAAATTTTCATCGCGCTATATGACTATTGTCGAAAAACGAGAATAAGCGAATGACCGGGATAACCCCGGATGGACAGCAGGGTGTCTTAGCGACGCCGTGACATGTACGAACGTTTACCAAGGATTTCCTCGTCGTCAGCAAAGGCACACGAGGCGACGGTGCGTAGAAAACGGTGCGAGGAACGATTGAGGCAGATCACGTGGGTCGACACCCGGTCGACGACAACCGGCGACAGCGGGACAGGTTGAAAAGATGCTGGCACTCGCGATGCGCCGCGAACACACAACCGGGCGCAGCAATTACGAGCCCGCAAATCCGCTCGCGGGATTCGAACACCTGCAGCACAACAGTGGTGGTAATTCGTTCGCGGTGGTACCCACCACCGAGGGGCGAGTGCGTGACGCCGCTCGGCCGGAGGCTGAGGGTGAGTTGCAGGAGTTTGTGGACATTGCGCAAGTGCAACAGCTACTCCAACAGCAACAGCAGCATCAACAACACCATCATCATCATCATCACCAACAGCAAACGTCCGCGGCGGCCGCGTCCTGCATCTGGGGAGCGGTATATCCTCCACCACCGCCCGCTCTGGGATATCATCACCATCACCATCATCATCATCACCATGCGCCGTTACCGCCGCCATCAGGTAATACTTGACGAATAAACAACGATTTCACGCCTGACATCGCGAAATCGAATGGAAGGTTTGTCCGCGAATCCGTTTCACCGCCAAAGAAAGAGTTTGTTATTTATTACGCTGCCGCGCGAGATACGACGCTCGGCATTTTCACACGCTATTATCTGCAACGATTTTTCTGCAACAAGCCACAGGCAGGACTGACGTGAGATATAATTTATGTCGCTCTCGAGCCATTCGGCATTTTTTCACAGTTTCCCTTTATCCTAGTAGGAGTACCGACTGCTGCGGCTGCCGGTCTAAACACTCCGCGACTATATGTATGATAATCGATCTTTAAGAGCTTTAAGATCAGCAGCACGTCGAAACCTGTATTTCTAGACTGGCTATTAAGTTTCTTGTCACCGCGAATGTGGCTCGTGAGAAGACGCTTCGCGTGCGTTGTTGATAACGATAAAATTTCTCTCTCAAATATCAAACGTGAGATTATAATTTATTCGTATACACACAAATTACTCAAATTTTTGTAAACGGAAATTGAATCGGTTATAATTGACGATGATATGAGCGTTTAAAGGCCAATTAAATCTTATTGACGCGATAATTATTTATTATTATTCAATATTCACGTGTGTCATTTCACCACCAAATTTTTCTGCAACCATAAAATTTGTCTAATATTAATCGAATTCCTAACCGTCCATTCGATATAGCGATATATATACACGTATATTCAAATATAACAGTTATTGATTAAACCTTAAAGTTAGGTAATATAGTACTCTTGTTACTTTAGACTTTAGACCAGATGTAATTTGTGTAGCTTGCACTTCCTTAACCCGTAATCACGATTTCTTAAAACAGATTATCTGTTTTGTTAAAAATTTATAATATTCTTAAACATTTCTAACCAGTTGCTATATGTAACGATACTTTTTTATATGATATTTACAGGAAAACTAACGAGATTTATTTGTATAATCGAAAGCTTCTTTATTATTAACCATATTAAAACAACAATTCGTACAGATAGCTCAGACACTGGTAACTTTGCTATAAGCTTTAATGTGCGAAATATTTGAAAAATGCTTTTTATATTAGGCTTTTATCAAGCGTTGGACGCGCCGACATGTTATCATTTCTTGTAATATTTAAATTTTATACGGGCAAATGTAATGTTTGCCTTCAAACAGTATTAGTATCTCATCCTGTTCAATTTTTTTAATGCTAGGGTAACTATATTATACAAGATGATTTGTGCAAAGTTTCACCGGCGGCAGAGATTCGGCTTTTAATTTGCTCACTTTTATGCAGCATAACATAAAGGTACGAATAATTTAACAAAACCATTGTATATATAACGAAATTATAAGTCGGAGGTTTCTAAAAGTTGGATAAGATTTTCGAAATTTGCATTTAAATTATGAGTGTATGCGCGATTTCACAGATCTTGCCGTCGGATACCGGACGCTGATATCGCCGGTAACCGCTGGTAAACTGCGAGTTCGATGGTCTTGACGTCCAAAAATTCCGTATCATATATATATATATATATATATATATACAATGATATCTGTGTATGTACATGATACATTTTTTATAATACTTGTGAGATGAATCAATTCATCAATTTAAAAATTTTTCTGATATTTATAATTTAAATTGGAAAACAAAACTATCTTACGCGTAAACTAGTGCGTATTAGAAATTTAGTTACAATTTTTTAACTCGCAATTTCGATATATTATTACAACAGACAGAAAAACTATTGAAATTAACATGCAGATGAAGAGAGAAAAAGAGAGTTTTATAGACCAACACATACAATATTCTTATCCTTTTGCTAATAACTCGACAAACTTTTCACTGAAAAATCTACGTCGTATTATATACATAGAGTAATTTAAAAACTATACAATATTTTTGAATTGATATTGAAAGAGAAAGGGAGAGAGAGTTTTACAGACCCACATTTGTCACATGAAATATTCTTATTCTTTCGCTAATAACTGGACGGACTTTTCTTTGAAAAATCTTCTACACATTGTACCATATACATAGAATAATTTAAAAATTATACAATAAATTGTATAATTATACAAAAATTGATATTGGTAAATTACATATAAGATTAAATATATACCATAGTCTTTTCATTACATAGCTAGTAATAGGTTTTCATGTATCTAATGCTTTTTAGATAGCACGAAAGACAATATAGAGAAGATGAAAGAATGAGGCCGCGTCGAGAATCGCCCAGCATGAGCAAAAGAAAAAAGATATTGAAGAACGATAACTCTTAATTCCACGCGCTGTCGGCAGTCCTGTTGAATTCGGCGTGCTACACATCACTAGTCCAAGTTTGTATAAAGGAACGAGCCTCCCTTCGATGTAAAACGATTAAAAGATTAATGATAGCTTTCAATTCGAATGGACCGCGTCCAATTTCGTCCGGCATGCGCAAAAACTCTTTCGTGTTGTGTGTTATTTTTGCGCAAATATAAACGTAACGTCGTGTGCGCTAGTAAGAAAAACTTTTTTTTTTTTTTTTTTTCTTTTTCATTCATTTACGCACGAGAACGGGGGATCGAAGCGCAGCTTTGCATAAGTTATTGTTTAAAGTGTCGTAGCTTCGTACGGTAATGCGTATAGTAAATCGCATGTACACGCCTGACATTTCGTTATTATTGTATGGATTCGTAAGACAGGAAATCGTACATCATATACGAACCTACAGTGGGCGGATAAAAAGGAACGAGTCACCTTCTCTCTCTCTCTCTCTCTCTTTCTCGGCTCTCATTGACGTCTTTTTAATAATGCCAGCTTGAGCAGCTTATGTGATCTCTGCTCTTTATTTCTCTTCCAAAGTTGTGCGTAAAAGTTTTTACGCGTAAACGATATCTACATATATTAATTTTTACAATACACTTATATTCAATCACAAAATTCTTTGCAGAATCAATAGGCACTATAAATACAACTATTCTCTGTGATTTGATGAATATATATAGGAAAATAAGTAATTCTTGGAAAAATTTGCGCGATTTGCCTTTAATTGGTTTTTTTTTTCTACTGTCAAGACTTCGTACCTTAAAAAACCTTTGAATTTCTTTTATTTATATACTTATTCAATTATGGTTGCTGTAACAACTATAAAAATAGGCCTTTTTCTTATTACCAGTGATTTGATAACTTCTTTTTAAGCAATGTCTTCAAAAATAACCCTTCGAAGGGTAGAAGGGGGGAGGGGGGAAGAGAGAGAAAAGAGAGAAAGCAACATGTAAAAACAAATTATACGTACAATCTGAGATAATTTGCCAGAAAGAAATATTTATAATAGTATAATCTTATATTATTATCAAATTAGCTACATTCAGCTTAAAATAAAATAATCGCTGGGTAGTATCATTGTTTCGTTATGCTTACGTCGCGTGACAAGGCACGACCATATGCCGAAACATTGTTACAACCTTATCGCATACGTCAAAGCTGACGTATATCCACCCTGACAATCGATCGTAAAATACTGTAAAATTTTTATCGTCGTTTAGATCAAGTTACGTATATAAGACGTAAAAAGTGCATACGTCGATATCGTAACGAGCGCGTTTATTGGACTTCGACTAAAATCGCTTTTATGTTTTTTATTACATAATACAAAGTAACGTATCGTGCCAATAGAGTATTTGATCTATTGACTATATTGTTATTTTTATTTGTTATTAGATTAGATTAAAGACTATTTATTTTTTAGATAATGTGTTTCTTTTTATTTATTCAATAAATGCGGCTATATGTCGCGAATAAATGTCAGAAACGCGATAAATAAAAAGGAATATAACAATATCATTAACGTAAAAAGCTCATAACTTGAAGAATCAGTAACAGGTGTATTACGATCTCTTAAATTGATACGGTTAATCATCTTACTATGCGTACTATGTCCATTCAACGGAGACCCACAGAGCGTAAAATTAGATACTTTAAATGGCTCTTATATACACAGTCGTTTCGGATAGCGCTATATATGTCAATTAATAACATTTTCTCTATATGACATATTTTGGATTAATAACTAATGTTACGCGATATTAATCTCGAACGATCTTTGCTTAAGGCTATATGCCATTTTGATATGTTGTCGCGCGTACTGTCCAATACCTGTCAAAGTACCAATTTACGATAGGATAATAAACCTATACATATATATCTAATACCCTTACCAATCTAAGTGTCAACGGGTGTCGCGACGAAAGACGCGCCTGATAAAAAAATCGACCCGCTTACGCGCGATATAACGATCCGTGTGGACTCACGCGGAAGGGGACGCTATATTCAATACCCTTACCAATCTAAGTGTCAACGGGTGTCGCGACGAAAGACGCGCCTGATAAAAAAATCGACCCGCTTACGCGCGATATAACGATCCGTGTGGACTCACGCGGAAGGGACGCTATATTAAACAGTCTCGCATAGAAATCACCACGATAATCGCATATAGGAACAAACACGTTGCTCCCGTATATTTTTATGCTATAGCATACAGATTTGTACGTATACGTGCGTTATAGCGTGATAAAAATATACCGGTGAGCAATGTGTTGGGGAGTTGTTATCATCTATGAATGGCTCATAGACATATGAAGCATCTACGTCAGCATCGACCGATAAGACTAACGTAAGCGGGAAGAAGATGAAGGGGGTTAACTACGCGTTATACGTAGCCGCCGTTGACGTCCAAGTACACGCGAGCTATAGTATACAAGAGGGAGAGGATCAAAGAAATCGATAGGCCACGGTGCAAAAATAGTCTTGGGAGGATTGTCTGGGTGGACTTACGACTATCTCTTGTATGAAATACGCGTTTTCGGATCAACTTTTTCAGAAAGTGCACCTCCAAATAGATTTATTAATTCTAAATTAAGTCTAAATTACCTTTGGAATAAAATATTTAGTGTGTTATTAATTAAATTATTAATAAAATTAGATACTCTAAATATAATATAGAT